AAGTTATCCCTGCTTACACGGGGATAGTGTTTGGCCCAGCCTTGGGGAGGTAGCTCCATTTAGCTAGTGGAGGGAGGGGAAAGCAGGTTGGAGGAGCTGATGTTATGCAGCATCAAGGAGCAAGTTAGGGGACCACAGGAAGGATTTGGTTGTTGAGTTGCCTTGTGGGGAAGGCTGATAGCTTGGAGGGGGAGAGGTGTTTGCTGTCTGAGGGGGTCACCAAGTGCAGAAGGGGGTGCGGCACTCTGCAAGGAGCATGTTGGGCCTGAGGGTGCAGAGGGGGCTGGGCTAGGCACCAGGCACGGGCTGCTCCTCTTCTCCAACCCTGCAGGACCCTGCCCTGACCTTGAGCAAGAAAGTGAAGCTGAAGCGGGAGAACCCAGACCTGTTGGAGCTGTGTCACTCATTGCCCATGGAGGTCTTTCACCTAGGTGAGACACCGGCCAGGGAGGCAACCTGGGACACTGCGTCTCCTGGGGTAGGGGTAGGGGGCCTGCACTGGGAAGGGGATGTGTAGTGAGATCCTGGCTGGGCTGGCATTCCTGCAGCCAGCTGTGTTGTTGGGGTAGCCCAAGCCCCTCAGAGCCTGGGGCAGAGACACCATATAGAGATTCTCAGGGCAGCTAAAATGCCAATCTCGCCATCCTGGGGATAGGAGGGGCTCCCCTTTGGGAGGGAAGCAGGGCCATTCCCCTTTTGGATGATCCTGTACCTACCCTGTAGGCTCCATGGGGGACATTCCTATGTGGTCACTTCCACCGCCTGGCTTTCCTATTGATTGGTAAGGGCTGCTTCTGCCATGGGCTGTGGTAGATCTCCTTTGCTAGAGAGATCAGGTTTAGGTCTGATACCCCCTCCTCATCTGGATGCAAGTGCCAGCCACAGGAAGTTGTTCAGCTGGGGTGTGTCCCTGACCCCAGCACAGTGCTCATCCCTACCCTTGCCTTGCCTTGCCTTGCCTGCCTCCATTCACCATCTGGCTGTGCTCCTGTATTCCCCCAGACTCCCCGTGAGGAGTGTGCAGTGTCTCACTTGGACCAGTGTTAGGCAGGCAGGCAGTGACAGGCTTTGGTGAGGAAGCCTGTGAGTGAGACCAAGTCCAGAGTGACACCAACCACCCCTTGGTGTCTGAGATCGATCAGTGACTGCAGCTGCCTGGAGAAAGAGATGCCCCCTCTTGAAAGCTCCCAGGGGCAGAGTGGGATGCTCCTAGACTGGGTGTGATGGAGAGGGATGCCAAAGGAAAACTCATCTCCAGGCAGTCCCATGCTGTGGACGTGACGGGGTTATGGGAAGAGTTGACCGTAGCCTCCCGCAGGTATTGCTACAGCAGTGGGCAGTCTTCTCTGTCCACCAGCCACTCCTGGTGCAGGAAGACCTCTCCCTGACGCTCCCCTTCTTTCCCTCCAGGGGGGAAAGGCTATGACCCAGAGAGCTCGGATGATTTTACAGCCTTTCAGCAATGGCTGCGGTGCTACTATGTGGCTGGTATGAAGTCATTGCGAGACAGCAATGGCAGAACCATCTGGTTTCAGGTAGGACCTCAGGTGGCCAACAACAATGGGCATTTCATAGGAGGGACTTGATTTGACTGGTGTCTGCACCCTGCAGTGGGAGGAGGCCTGCAGATCATCTTCTCCACCCCACTCTGCCCTGCAAAGAGACATGGGCTAGGCCTGGAGCCAGGTCTCTGTGTAGGGCTGGAGCTTCAAAGACATCCCCAACTAGGGGGTAGAATATCTGCCCAGGAGACAAACTTCATCCCTCTGAGACTTCCCTCCAACTGACCTCGGTGGAGGAGTGGTGAACCCAAAGGAATGGAAGCTATGATGGGCAGCATTCAGATCGTGACCCACTTCTGAGCAAGCTCCTGCTGCCCCAGGACTGCTGGCAGGACTGGTGGTCTTTGTACCAGAACTGGCATGCTGCTGAGGGCACAGTTACCTGAGCGGGTACCGGTTGCATGCTGGTCTGTGTTCTAGGAGACTGTTTATAAGCCCTATTTCTTCCTTGCAGGGAGAGCCTGGACCAATGGCCCCAAAAGGTGAGCAAGCAGCTTTCTTCCTTCATACTTCATAGGCCCTAGTTAGGCTGAGAGGCAGGGCAAGCCTTCACCTACTGCAGGATTATTGAGATGAGAATGAGCAGAACTTGTCTGGCCGCTAGCACACTGCCCCAGTGCAGCAGGGTATACAAGTCATCACCAGGGCAGTGTGATGCAAGGGCCAGTCCAAAAGGAGATGGTGGGTGACTGTCATTGGCACATCATTGTTGGCAGTCATGTGTGGAGCAGCCCGTGTCAGTACACTACCCAAGTCAGGTCCTTGCAGATGAGTGCAGCGACACCATAGCAGGATGTCTGTGCTGTGGCTGCTTCTGAGAACCCTGTGTGTACTCGGTAGCATTCAGAGTCCTGCTCCCATTGACCTTTGGGCCAACTGCATCAGATGTTCCAGCCTGCACTATTGTCACCATGGGCGGCAGGGAGAGGGGGTTGCTAGGGTCAGAGACATGCCAGCTATTGAGTTTCTCTTGCTTTGCTTTTGGAGAACTGGGCTCAAGGCTCAGCTTAAGGATGACCTCCAGGGAAGGCAGTGTGGTTGTGTTTTGTGCATATGTGGTCTCTTGGGGTGGAAGGGGAGTTCCTTGAGCCACCTTTACCCTTCCCTGTATGCATGTTCCAGGTTGCATTTTGCCTGTAAACATGCCCTCCCGAGGTTCTCTTCCATGGATGTCTCCTGTGCACACAAGATTTTGCGACCTCCTGACTAAAAGAGGGCTTCTTCCACATTCCCTGAATGAATCTGACTTAGTTTATTTCATGTGTAGACCGGGCCAAAAGTCCACAAAACCAGTCTCTCAGAACCATCTCAGGGTGGGAGAGCTCTTTCCCCCTGGCAGGTCCCCAGGGATTCAGCCTCTGAAAAACCTATCTCATCTCCTGTGTTCTTACCCTTCTTTCATGCAGGAAAAAAGTCCCACAAGAAACACGCTCGGGGGAAAGCCGACTTGGATGCTCCAAGTTCAAAGGTACCCAAGACCTCTGCCGTAAGTTTCTCAGTCTCTCAATATCTACAGCTGTCCTCCCAACTCCCAGAGGTGTTTGCTGCCTAGGCAATCCCAGAGTCCCCATTTTACATTTCATCTGTGGACTTCTGCACTCTGGAGCTTGCAGACTGCCAGTGATGAGAGCAGAGGTTCTCTGTTGCTGCCTTGTACATCACCAGATGCTTACTTGGCACTTGCTGCCAGGCTGCGTTGCATTGATGGGAACAGCTGGTAAGACCCATTCCTGGGCTGGAGACCATTAGAGAAGTGAGGCCAAATTGGAAAACTTGGTGCCCCCCGTTAGAATCATAAAAAGGTGTGGCTAGAAGGGCCCTCAGGAAGTCTTTTAGTCCAGCTCCCTGCTCAATTCCTGTCTAAACTGTCCTCAACAGGGGTTTGTGAAATCCCTTAATTTCAGGAACAACCGTTGCATGCAACTGTAGGCATAATACTGAAAACATCACAAAATTCTCTCTTAACTTGTCACAGATCAGGCAGGGGGATGAGGGCTGTCAGTGTCCTATCTCCATTGTTCTTGCCAATCTGACCATGGGGTAAAATGCCCTCCTGATCCCAAATGTGAGAGATGGCCTGGCCCTGAGCAGAGGAGCAAGGCATTCTAGCCAGGAACCTCTGGGGTGTTTAAGTCTCAGTTTGGCTGATTAAGTTCTAAAGTTTGCCCTACAATGTAGGCTGGGACCTGCTTTGCCTACAAGATCTGTGGCAACACATGACTGTGGCCATGAGTGAAGCAAATTCCCTCAGGTAGATCCATAAGGCTGTGCATTGTGTCTGCCCTAGTACCATGGCAGCACTGCCTCCACTTGCCGTCATCCTCACTTCTGCAGCCTCCAGATTTCCTATTGAAACACTCAAACATACAGATAATGCTGAAGTCTCGTCTCTAAGTGAGTGCATGTTTCAATTATTTGCCCAGGAGACAAAGCCACCATCCAAGAGGAGTTCCAAAGACAGCAGCAGCCATGAGGAGCCTCAGGGAACTAAGAAACACAGCAGGAAGAAGGAGCTCATCCAGGGAGCTGAGAACAGCCCAGCAAATGGACCAAGGAAGCGACATGCCAGGTTGAGGCAGAAAGGCTCAACCTGCCAAGATTCTCCTGAAACCAAGGCTCCTGCTGAGGGGAAGACGAGGAGCAGGAGGCGGGCAGCTGCTTACAAAAGCACAGGTTAGGTTCCTGCTCTGCCTGTAAGGGTAGCTTGGGGGAGAGGTCTGGGGCAAGAGCTGGTGTTTTCTACCTACCTCCCGGTAAGAGAAGGGAGAAGCTCCATCCATTATCTTGGTCCAGCAGGGTCTGTGCTTCAGTCTCTGACCAGCTTGAGTGTGTGCGTGGAAGGGATATACAGCACCAAGTAACCTCCTGGTCGACCCTAGGCAGGGACCCCCTAGAGAGCCTCAGGGTGGGGAGAGGCGGGAGATGTCTCTTACACGAGCTCATGACCCTGTTTAGCTGCGTAGACAGTCCAAGCACCAGAATGCGGCTACTTTATTGTAAAATCACTGGCCGGGAAGAGGCAAGGTGTGACTGGGACAAGAAGAGTTAGCCAGCCTCAGCTGAGGAGCCCAATGTTGTAGGAGGGGGCTGGCCAGGCCTTGAGAGCTCAGTGGCTTTAGGAGGAAAACAAATGTTTGAGGGTGTGATTTGGGGGAGTCCTTCAGTTAACAAGCACAATGAGGGGTTGGGTGTCTTGGCCCAAGTGCCTTCCCATCCTTGGTACCAACCCTGCCCTTTCACTGCCTGGCTTTCTCACCCTTGTCTTTCAGAAGTGGCTGCTGCTGGCTCCAGACAGAGGCAGGCAAGGACTGACAGGCCTGTCACCACTGCTATTCCCCTCTCCAGCTTGTAGTAACCGGCATGGGGACTTGCTTGCCTGCTGCCGCCAAACACCCTGAGCAAAAGGTCATGCTGGGACAGCTGCTGGATAACTGCGATCTGAATGGCTGCACCTGCTGTAGTGCGCCTTTTTCAGGGGCAGCCCACCACAGGAACTCTGAGCTGCTGGTGTGAGCCCCTTGCTCTGTGAAATGAGCTGTTGGTTTGTCTTCCTGCTTGCTTACAGGATTTTAGCCTTTTTTAGATGCTGCTCAGTGGTTCCAGGACAAAGCGATTTTATCAACTTCATTTTGTATCCAGCCCCTTTGGAGGTGCAGTGGGTCCTGTTTGCACCTGCAGGTTCGGAGCTGGCACCACTGTGGGCTGGGTGCTGAGTGGGGAAGGCTGAGCTTTCTCCAGCCTCCTGTGGGTGGGCTGAGCAGTGCCAGCCCCAGGTCAGTGTCCCCTGCTGGGGGCCTGTGCTTCTTGCTCTCAGCTGGGCTTGACAACCTTCATGCTCCTGCATGCTGCCAGGAACGGGATGGTGAATTGCATTTGTCCTGAGCTAGCAGGACTCAGAGGCACTTGCTGACTTAAAATTCCTCTGCTGTATCTCCAGCCCCCCACAGCTCTGCCAGGGGCTCTGAGGTTTTAGACCTAGAGTATTTTAACTCAGAAGAAGGTGGCGAGAGCCTGTCCTTTCTGGAAAGTGCCTGGTTGAAGCAGAGGGGCTGGCTCCTCTCACACATGGGCATTACCAGCTATGGCAGTGCTGCAGTGCTCCCTTCTTGGGGTAGGCAGACTTTGTGGCCCATTCAAGCCTGCTTGCTACCAGATCTACGTGTAGACATATAGGGCCAGGTTTTTAAAGATACAGAAGTGCCTAATGCTCACTGATTTCAACAGGTATTAGACCCCCAGAATACCTTTAAAAATCAAGGGCATGGACCACCCCTTCCCCCAGATTCTGGCTTCCCATAACCTGAAGGTGAAGGTTCAGCATCTGCCTACTAGCCTGTTCGCCTCACACACAGGAGTTTTCTAACAACTGTTGGTGCTTTTAACTATTTGACTATGATAGCCGCAATAAAACCTTTATACAGAAAACCATCCCTGTCTGGCTGCTTTTCTGTGGCTGCGGGAAATTCTAATATAGTGGTTCAAGGGGACAGTTTTAGCAAGTGAGGCTTTGGGCCAAGCTGTGGACAGTATGCTAGTATTATGCTTCTCCAGATGTGCCAGCTTTCCACAGAGGAAGGACACTTGGGACCACAGCTGGGCATTGGCTGCACCCACAGCTGAGCCCTGTGGTTGAACAGAGTGTTGAGGAGGGGGGAGGTATTTCTGGGGATGAACAGAGTGAAGAAGGCTTTGTGCTATCTGGAAATTACTGGCACCTTCTCCTAGGCATGTCTCTTGCTGGCCCCTTGCAGCCTCTGCCAGCCAAGGGCCAGGAACTGCAAGAAGAGCCTGTGGCAATAGAAGTGACAGGCTGTAAGGAACCTCCCATGTCTGCTTCCACATGCTGTCATTAGCAGCTTCCCAGGCTCTATGTGCCCTGGCCATGGGCAAGCCGTTCACCACAGGAAACAGTAAGTTACTGTAGAAAACATGGCACCTCAGCCCAGCAAGGGATAGGATATCTCCTTTGTTCAATGGGAACAGGTAATGGCCTCTGCCCAGAGCTGTGCTCTTACAGAAACAGGTCCATAGTGCTGCTGCAGGGCTTGTCCCAGGGATAGGCATCCCATGCTATGGCCACAACAGGCTTGGCTCTGTCCTGGACTCCTTTCCCTGGCATGATTTGCCAGTGACAGCCCATGGCTCCCTCTGGTGGTGTCAGGCAGTGCTGCCTAATGAGCACTAGACTGGGAATTAGGATTCCTTCCCTGGCTTGGCCACTGGAGGACTTGGGTATAGCAGTTGACTTCCTGGTGCCTTAGCTCCCACCTGTACCATAGGGATGACACTAGTGCGCCCTTTATAAAGTGGATGTAAAGCTGTGGAGGAAGATCACCTGAGAGCAGATGGGCACTTGGCGTCTGCCTCATGCTCTGAAGGCTGGGGGGGGCATGGTGTTCCTCCACTGCAAGTGCAAGAGGTCAAAGATAAACAAACACAGCAACTTCATCCATCTTTAATGCTGTTTCTTTCCAGGCTCTTGGCTGGGCAGCTTTACAGAAAGAGAGGGTGCTTTGTCATCACCAGGGAAAGGACTGGAAAGCAAGTGCCCTGGAGGGAGCAAAGGACAAGCTGGGTTTGGGGGAGCAACAGGAACATCCTCGGGGAGAGGGGACATCCTTGGGGAGAGAACTCTAGAGACGCTCCCTCACATGCACCAGGATTCTGTGCTGAGGCTGGTCCCTGAGGATCTCAACCAGCCCAGCACCAGGCTTGTCATAGTCTCCCCACCCAACCCATATCTCTCCTTTGTCTATCACTATGAAAACACCCCGAGAAGATACTGACACTTGGCACTCGTGTCCTACCAAGATGGTGGTGTTCTACTATGATGTTCTGGGAAAAGGGGTTCTTTGTGCAGCTGTGCTTTGGGATGTCCATACGCCCATTAGCTGAGCTGCTGAAATTACCTGATGACGGCTGCCTGTGGCATTGGCTCAGGGATAGGATACTAGTGTAGCTCACTACCCCAAGACTAAGAGCACGGAGATCACTTGGAATGGCGTAAAGGAAAGCTCCACACCAAGCTCCTTCAGCGGCAGGTGGCTGGTTGGGTCTGCCCGTTCTAGGAGATCACATCTAGGAGAGGAAGAGACAGGGAAGAAAGCCCAGACTCACAAAGGTATTCAGGCCTACACACCACCTGATTTCAATGGCCAGTTAGGGGCATGGGTACCTTTGGGAATCTGGCTCTGTATTTCCTTGAGCTCCACCTCCTGCTTACTTACGTGATTGCTTCCTTCACAGGAAGGCAGGTCTGGAGCCAGGTGACTACAGTGCTGCCGTGAGACTCATACAGTCGGGCCACGAGGACACCTGGCCTGTCCTCAGCCTGAAAGGACAGAGAGGAAGGGTCTCCTTAAGAGTCGTGACAGGCAGGCAGCCCTGTGCCTTCTATCAGGGCATCAAATAAGCCCCCGCAGCTTTGCCTCACTATTTAAATGAGAGGAGCTGGAGGGACCTGCTTACCCACAAGCCATCCACCTGAGGGCAGGGAGGTCATGCACAAAACCTGGCTGAGGTACTTGGTTTGGAGCAGAGGCTGATTTCTGCTCCTCCCTGCAGGGATGCCTCAAGTTCTTACTCATCAAGAACAAAAGCAGTAGTTTTCACTTGTCCTGCCTAGGCTCATGTTCACATGAGGATGCCGCTTGGGTCTGATTTCCAGAGAAGCAGCAGCCCCTTTGTCCCACAGTGAACTGGGAAAGAAAGATGGGTGCTGCGCAGCTCTGAAATCAGGCCTAAAAAGTTTCAGAGTGAAACTTGCATCCCTCCAGCTTCCCAAAATAATTCCCTGAGCCTCATCCACAGGTCAGGTATCACCAAAGCTTCTCTCCAGCCATTTTTTTGAAGCTGGTGCCCTGGGCAACCACGAAAGGGAGATATTATGCCACCAGGAAGAACCAACCTGGATGAAGAACATGCAGATCAGTAAGATGGCTGCACAGGGGGTCAAGCCCAGACTATTCTCAGTGGAACTGAAGCATCCCCTTTGCAGTGCTCTTCATCCATATCATCCAATGAATATGAAATAAAAGGGGGCAGTGGCTGAGCTCCAAAAGGAGGAATGGATAAGAGTCATTAGAGCAGATTAAAGTGTGGACAAATAGGATGGAGTCACACTGAGAGTGGCATCACTGGGTCAGTCCCAAGTGTTCTCCTTGGGCTTGACCCCAGCACAAGAGCTGGCACGGCTCTGTATTCACATTCATCTTAGACAGCCTGGCTGTCCTCTCCTTGCTTCACTCCTTGGTGCACTTGCCTGTTTCACGGTTTCTAGCACGACAGCTGGGGAAGACACACAGAAGGCGCTCCAGGCTGGACATTGCACAGAGACAGCCGGCATTGTGTGGAGAGGAAAGTTCAAGCTGTAGGCATAACGGATCACACCAGCCTCCTGGAAGGAGCCTACACAGAGAAAAGAACCACCCTGCAGTGAGCAGACAGTGCCAGTACCTTCTATGCTAGGGGGAAGGCAACTTCCTTCACACCCAGCATCCCTCTGCCCCACACACAGAGGGGGACCTTTGCCTCATCACCACCCTAAGGGAGTAAGCAGACTCCCTGAGCGGGAGGGGGGAACAGAGTCAAGTTGTTCACCCTCCAAAACTCACCCAGATGAGGCATCACAGCATAAGTGAACTGATGGTGTCCCATATCTGCAGTGGTGTCAGGGGACTTAGGTGCTCTCAGGCTGAGAATGAAGGGGATTATGGCCATGGATTCTCTAAGTGGCAGCAGATAAATACAAGCACCCCTTCCCTTCCCCTCCCTCTGGCTCTCCTACAAAATAGCACACACATTCCTCACCTCATGCTCAGGTCCCCCACCTTCCCAATGACAAAGGCCCCTTGAACTCTCAACACAGTGCCAGGCTCTGTAACAATAACCCATTAAAGGAGGATTTCCACCTACAAGACAGCTAACTCCCTCTACTAAGAAACAGGAAGGGGCTTGGGCTCAGGCTCTGTTGTGCCTTGAGACCAAATGCCAACTGAGCCTGAGGAGCAAAGTACCAAAGGAGAAGAAAGAACCCATGAGCCAGGCCCTTGCCCATTTGGTGACAGGCTGCCATCTTGTGCCACCTCCCCTAAAGCAGCATCAGGTACTCAAACCTGCTGCAGGGATGCAGGAAAGGGTTAACCCTCATCTCAGCCCTCCCGCCTTCCAAGTTAAACCAGCAGGACAGGTGGGAGGCAGCTGTAGCCTCTAGGCCCAGGCAAAGCCCCCGCCCTTCTCCCCCACTCACAGCGAGAGGCTCATGGTGTTCCCATGCACTGAGGCACCATATTTGCTGTCATTCAGCAGCGCCACCCCAAAGCCGTGCTCTGACAGATCCATCCACTTCTGGCTCCACACCTGTGGCAGGAGGGAGGGGGTAGAATGAGTAGTCAGGCATTAGGGGGCTGGTGTCCAGGATGGCCCTTTCAGACCTGTGCAGCAAGGTGGGTGCTAGAGAAACTATGATAAAGCATGCAAGGACTGGGAGTGGGTGCTGGCCTGCAGAGATCTTTGGAGACAAATGGATCCTAGCCACTGTGAAGAGCCGGGATCTGGCAACGGGGGGCTGTGGCTGTCAATCCAGTCTCCATGAAGGACAAAGCTCTCATCCTCCCTCACCAAACTCCCTGGCAGCTGCAGCCCAGCTGGGGCTGCAACTGCTTCTTGCACAGCTTGAACTGGCCATGAAAGACCCAGCAGCTTCCCCTCCAGTGGGGAACCACAGCCCCAGAGGGCAGGCAGTTGGAAGCAGTTGCAGGAAAGCTCAGTGTCTCTGAGGCTGTTCCAAAACAGTCCAAGGGAAGGTGCTCTCCTATCAGCGTACCAGCCACAGCTACAACCTGGTGTGCATGAACAACAGGTGCCTCCCGAGACTGGAGGGGCACCATGGCAGCGAGCGGGGACTGCCCACAGCCCCCGGCATGTGTCAGTGAGCAAAGACCACCCACACCTGCTGCTGGCAGTGTCATTGTTGGTGAGTGGTGTCAGTGGCAGGGGGGCGAGCAGGGACTGCCTGCAGCTGCCACCGGATGCTTTGGCAGTGGTGTGGGGGGCAGGTGCAGGTGGAAACTGCCCGCAAAAGCCAGTGGCACCTTTGGCAGCAATCTCGGGGGGGCATATGCCCCACCATGCCCCCCTTACACGTCACCTATGCTGGTGTTGGTGACTTCAAACCATGCTGCAGTCAACTAAGGCAGTGGTTCTCAACCTTCTTTGTACCAGGACCCATTTGTAAACATCGATAGCCAGTCCCAACTCAGTACCCCTCACTCTTGACCCGCTGCCCCCAGACCCCAGTGTGTGAGGCAGGGGGTGGGTGTGTGGGGAAGGGGGGCCCTAAGTAGCCCTTGCGGGTTGTTATTCTGTCAGCCTGCAAAGGAAAAACCAGTTTCCCACAATTTTCCTCTTTAAAGGAGAATCCGTTTTTAAAGTTTGTTCGTGACCCTTTCATATATTCTTGCAACCCACTTTTGGGTCACCACCCCTGGGTTGAGAAACACTGAACTAGGGGACCCTGCCTAACAAAGAACTGCCTCCCCCGAGATGAGGGGAACCTGTTCCAGGCAGATATCCCTTAACAAGAAGGGACACCTCCTGAAGCAAGCCAGGCTCCAAGGAGACAGAGGAATTCTCAGAGTGCATGTGCAGCGTGGAGGGAAGGGATGGGTGAGCGAAGAGCTACCGGGGCTATTTTGATCTACAGGCCAGAGTTTGGAGCTGGGCTGCTCCCCCCTCACCTCGAATCGTGCCCAGTCCCAAGACGTGTTCCAGTGTGTTGGCCTCTGCAGGTGGCCAAACTGGATCTCGTAGGTGGCATTCATGCTCCGAGCCTGCACAGGGAACTCCACTTTCAAGAACTTGTGAGCCTCGTTCCACTCGACCTAAAGTCAAGGCAACAGCTGAAAGCAGGCTCAGCAGGGCAGGCAGGAGATGCTAGCTGTACCCTGCTGTGCTCTGCCTGGGGCAAAATCCGACTACATCAGAATCTATCCCACTGCAACCCTAATGCTCTGAGTAAATGCACACGGAGGCTGAATCGGCACCCAGGTGGGGCAGCAGTGGTGATAAGACTGTATATTACAGAAGTTTACTATCTTGGCTGCTGCCAGGCAGGGGCAGGCTGTTGGGTGGTCTAGGAGGTCCTGGCCATGGCCATCTGTGACATTTACCACCTCCAGGCACATCTCCATTTGTTTAGTGATGTTTATGGCATGGTGCCAACTGCACTTGGGTTCTGCAGACTGCACAGCCTTCTTGCTTGCTTGAGAGCACAATACAAGGGGTAAAGTTCACCCCATGAAGCTATGTGTACAAAAACAGTATTACTGAATGCCCGGGTTCTCTCCCCTCCCACCACCACAGACAGTGTCACAAGGATGCGGCCTCCACAGGCCTTTCCAAACCTGGGTCAGGAATCGAAGATAAGGGCACATGGCGTCCAGGATGACCTCTTGGGTGATGATGCTCTTCTCGCTGATCTGCAGAGAGAATCTGACACTTCCTCGCAGGGCCCCTGGCAAGATAATTTCCAGTGGCTTCACAAGGGTCGTGACTGGCTTCCTAAAAGTTTTTAACACACAAAGCTAAGAGCCCAGGGTGATGAAAGGCTCCTGCCAGATGCAAGAAAAGGGGAGAGCGCAGACACCTGCAGATTGTAGAGCTCTCACCAGAGATATGCACAGAAACACTCCAAGCTACAGTGATGCACACTACGCAGAAGCCTGGAAAGAACAAGCACACAGCTTCCCACTGCAACAGTTCTGTTCTCCCTCTGGGAAACTGGCCCCTTGCTACAACCCCAAGAGGCAAAGATCCTTGCTAAGTCCTAAAGAAGTGCCTATGCTCACAAGGCACCACTCACCTACCTGGTTTCTAGATGATAATCCATCACATCCCAGGCATCCCAGTACAAGGGAATGTCATCAAATATCACAAACTGGTTAGCACAGGAGCCCTCAGGGACTGCCTCTCTAAAACAAAGCAGCAGATGAACAGTAACTGAACAAGAAACTGTGAAAGATAAAGCAGTCCTGAAATGAGACTCCAACACCCTTACAACAGGTATGTACAGCTAGGGCAGTGACTCTCAACAAAGGTGAGATCCTGTCAAGGATGCTACAGGGTACAACACAATGTTAGCACTATTAGGAGTGCAATAAAGATTCACAAGATAAAGCTGGAGATTTCAATTAGGAAGCCACAGCATCAAAAACATTCTGACCTGCGGTAGTCTTTCTGAGTCCTTTGCAACAGAAGATTGTTATTCTTCTGTAGTCAAAAAACAAGTGACAACTAATAGCTGGCATTTCTTGGGGGTGCCTTTAGCCTAAGAAGGTTCAAAGCCACTGAGCTAGGGGCTCACAGGGGAGGTTCTCTAGGAGTAGACTTGGTGAGACAAGTGACCCAGAACTTCCTCTGAGGGGCTGAACTCCTGTCCCAGAGGAGGCCTGAGGTAAAATGAAACTCAGGGATGAAGGGGAAGCTTCTAGTGACTCCCTACCAGGCTTCATCTCACAATCTGTCCAGCATGGATGGACCCTCTGGAGGTCATCCAAGTGACAGAAAACCCACATTCTACTGGTGCAAAGAAAAATATAACGCACCTCCCAGAGCTCACTAAATGAAGCGATGTCACATGTCCCATTGAGTCCAGATGAGCTGCAATAACCCCATTCTCCATGGTAATGGACCCATCCAACTGGTGAATAAGGAAAGATATTAGAAGACAGCACAACACAGACTCCACACAAGCCATCGGGGCAGAGGCGGTCAGAGGGCCTAATCCAGAAGGGAACTCCCCCTAGGTTGGACCCTACAGGGCAGCTCACCTGTTTAACCACCCTTACAGGGTGAGGTGGTGTTAATGAGTCCTTCACCACAGAGTAGCCCATGCTACAGGCCTTCACGAGGGCTAAAAGAAATAGAGGCAAAGAAGTTCACTCACTTTCCCTTCAGTGGAGATACCCTCTCTAGCTCCATGTGAGCCTTCTCCCTCACTGCCCCCTTCTACACTAAAAACCTCCACCCAACCACTACTTTGAATGCAGGATCTATAGGATCCTTTTCCCCTCCCCGTGTGAAGATAAGCTTCCATGTGGTGCTGAGGGAAATTGAATCTTCTTCTATAAATCAAGAGAAATCCTGGTCATGCATAACCTTGAAGCCCTGAAGGCTGACACGTGCACCGCTGTCACAGGTGCGTCAGGAGCGACAGCTGTGTATCCTGCTGGGATATGCATCTTTCATAGCTGTATCAGTCCCATCTCCCCTCCTCTGCTATCCATGAAGAGGCATAGTGTGAATCACTGCTCCATGAAGGATGACCTAGAAGTCTTTAGGCAGGCAGTGCAGCGGTACCTAAGGTGTCTGCTCCGGTTGGTCTGGCCCTGGAGATAACTTCCGTCCGTTCCCAAGGCAACGTGTTCATGATCACAGTGCTTTCGGCTGCTTCCGAGCCAGTTGGCAAAAGTTTTCCAATCAAGGACTGCACAGCTTCCTTCAGGAGGAGAGTACCCACAGAACGGATTTCTGGGTGAAGAAAAGGCACTTCAGTGAAGAGGAGATTGATAGGGTTTGTAAAGCAAGAAAAAGCTTGCTAGGTCTTTCACAGACACACAAAGCAGCCAAGGAATGACATTGTGTTCCCCACATTCCTTATCCATCCCGTTCACCCAGCCATTGGCATTTGCACCCTGAAATTGGCACTGCACCCTGACAGAAGCGCTGCCAACACCTGCAGGTGGTTGCTGCTTGCCACCTCCCACCCTCGCCGCCACCACCACTGCTGCAGCTGTCTGTGGGTGGCCACCGTGCCCGCCGAGCCCCCAGGGGCACACGTCGTTCATGCACCCAGCAGTCCCATTCCTTGTACAAACTCTTTATTTGGCAGTTCCCCTATAGTTAGCACTAGTTCTTGCTCCCTTTCAGCCAGTGTTTTAATTGCTGGGTGTCATTCCCCTCAGTTAAATTACTCTCCCCTGGATCCTAACCTTCCTCCATCTTCCCAGGTAGCCACTCTTCATGCTTTCCTGACAGTCCTCCCCTTCTTGCTGCTCAGCCACAGGAGTTGTCACTCCTGATGTCACAGGGCTCCTGGGACCAGTGGGGACTCCACCTGCTGGGGCTTTCTATTTGTCATACCCTGGCTGTCAATCTCCAGTGACCAGACCTGATTTTCTCTGAGATCTCTGGGGATCTGCAAATGCTGTATATCCAGTGCATGCCTCAGTGCACAATGGTTGTTATTCATACAACCTGCTGCTACAGGAAGCAGGACACTCAATGCAGGAAAACAGGGGAGTTAGTTATTACCAATGCCTACAGCACGTCTTCCTAATGGAGTTATGCATGCCCCATGAGCTGCACCACAGGCAAATGTTTACAAATGGACCAAAAAGCAGGTACAAAACCTCTGAAGCCCCCCCCGGCAGAATGTCTTACAACCTGCTTGGGCCCTAACCCAGTGTTCTCCACTCACCTTCATAGTAACTCATGGCATCCTCTGCTACCAGCTGAATACAGGTGCCTGGCAACACATCATGGAACTGATTCAGAAGCAGAAGCCTAAACCCCAAGGAACAGGAGCTCAGGGTTAGATTCACTCTGCATGAACTACAACAACCTCCTTCCGAAGGATGAGTCTTGCCACACCCTACAGACTGCTGAGAGGAAATACCATCTAGCTAGGAAGATCTCACACCTGATTTTGGGCATTGGGCTTCACCTCCATATGACTGATGCTTGGCCTTGATCAATGGTTATAAGAAACAAGAAATTGTGACGTAGGCTCCCAGGCCAAGAGCTCTCCAAGCAATGAGTTCATTCAATCATTCTCTGGTCTTCTGAAAGGATTCCCAATGTATGGGAGAGCAGAAAGCACAGATCTGGGAAATCACTGAGACAAGTTCACTCTTCCCTGGGATAAATTCTTAGTATCATAAAAAGATAAGAATATGGCTAGAAGAGATGCCAGGAGGTCATCCAATCCAACCCTTTGGTCAAGGCAGGATCATCCCTGTCTAAACCATAGTGTCAAAGTATTATATCAATCAGGTATTATAAATGGGTGTGATTCTTGGGGCAACTTGACCCAGTTAGTGATAGCACTCAGATAAACTTGTTTACCTCCACAGATGCTGCAGTTTGGTGGCAGGATATGGGAAAGCACTTTTCTGTGCCACGGCCAAACTGCTCAGGACTTCAACATCATGCAGTATCCGCTCACATTCCCGATTGCTTTTCTTTATCTGATCCCAAAAATAAAATGGGATTTAGAATGATCATTCCTCAGAAGCAGGTTCAGCCATCTAAACTACATGTGGGAACATAGATAACTAATATCAGTTGACAATAAGACAATCTTTTGCCTGGGCGCACCTTCTCCACACAACCACCTCCCACTACAGCAGCAAATACTGCTGCCACTTGGGCATGAGCTCTGTTTTAGAAGATGGTTCTTCCCAAAATGCAGTGATTCACACTTGCATTATCAACAGTAAACAAGCACAACGAATCTAATTCTTTTCAGTATGTTACTGTGGAGCTAGGAAGCTCTTAGGGGAAGGGGTTAAAAGTACTCCTGCCTGCTGTAGAAAACAGAAGGGTGAGAAAACTCTCTGAATACAGGACAACTCCCCTGTGAAGAGGCATCATCCTGATCTCCAATGAGCAGCTTCAACTTGTGTTCCAAGCCAGGAGAGCACAGCTCTTTTGAAAAGTTCCACAGAACATGTTTAAATGTATCCTGTCAAAGTGCTTGTACCTGGGATGGAAGGTTTGAAAACAAAGAAAACCCTGACCCCACAAAACAACTGGTTTTCCTTTGGGCTTCCACCATTCCCCAATAGCACTGAAAAGCCAAACTCACCAACTTTGTGCCAGTGCATTAGACCTAGGAAGTGAAATAAGGTGTGCCTACACTTGAATTCATTGTCACACGGGTCTGCTGCTGGGAGTGTCTGAACACAGGTTGCAAGTGTTCCTTCTGTCTAACAGAGGTGTAGGTTGTAGCTGTGTTGGTCTAAGGACGTAGGCAGGCAAGGTTCTTTGCATAAATCTTATATCTTCTTTAGACCAACTAAACAGTTGGAAAAATTCTTCTTAGCAAGGGTTTCGGATTTAAAAACCCTTCGTCAGGCTGAGGAAGCATCTGCAGTTGGTGTGTGCTCTTCCTGGATGGAATTCCATTTACTATTCATTCCATCCAGGAAGAGCACACACCAACTGCAGATGCTTCCTCAGCCTGATGAAGGGTTTTTAAACCCAAAATCTTGCTCAGAAGATTTACCCAAAGAACTTTGTCTGCCTACTGTCTAACATGAACCCTGGGGTTACCTGAGCCTGGGTGGTGTATGTGCCATTATGCAGCTCCAGAAACAGCTCTCCTATCCAGGTGTACAGCTGTGACCCATCTCTTTCCAAGACAGAAAAAAACTGGTCAGGTGTAGACATCTGAACCCTTTGGATGAGAGATACAAGAAGGCAGTTTGTGAGCAGCTGTGAAACATCAGCAGACCCCCTCCCAATTTTTCAGCATGTGAAGACAAAAGGAGTTAGCTGATGCATCCTTGAGAGCCAGCTGTGATTCCACTGAGCCAGAACAGGGTATGGAACTTTCCTTTCACCTGGGTAGCCCATCCACGTCCTTCATTCTCTTCATCCTGTCCAGCATCTTCTGGGTTGGGCCACCTCCTCCATCTCCAAAGCCAAAGAGAGCAACACTGTGGTTCACACGGCCTTTGTCTTTGTTGTTATTCACAGTCTTCAGCATCTGGAAGGGATTGTACACATACATGCCACAGGCTCTCAGGGCCATCATGCACCACAAGACCAAGGAACCCTTTGCAGACTTCACCATCAGACATGTCGCTGAGGGCTCCCCACCATGGTTGTTTACTTTTCAGGCCTGGCTACCAGGTTATAACCAGCAGGGGGAGCTGGAAATGCAACGACTCATCCAAATGTGACCCGAGCAGGGTGCGGGGCCCCAGGGCAAATCAGCCCATGTGGGTCTTGACCCTGATCTGATCCCATAGGCCCCAGACCCAAAGAAGCTGCTGCCACCATCAGCGGCGGCAGGGGTGGGGGAGTAGCGAGCGGCTGAACATGGAGCCGCCACTCTGCCCAGCTTTGCACCACCGCTGCTCCACCTGGCTCCACAAAGCGTGGAGCCTGGGGCAGTCGCTCTGATTCGCGCCCCCTAGGGTCGGCCCTGGACCCATCCCTCAGTGACCCATCAACCCTCCACTCTCCTGTATGTTTCTCTCTAGAATGTAGCTGATTATCACAGTCCAAATCACACACACACACAGTCAGACTGCTCTTCAGAGTTACAACCCCTCCAAGCAGGACTTCCTCCTGCAGCTCAGGTGCGGGGTGACTGGCATTTCTCTGCATGCTGGATGTGCTGGAGCAGGGAGGCAGGGGTGAGCCCACCTGGTTGAGAGGTTGCTTCACTCACCTCTTCCACGAAGCCTTGCATTCCATAAGAGTCGCCAGGTGGGAAATGGGCCAGAACGCTGGAGCCATCAATGCCTTCCCAGAAAAAGGTGTGGTGCTAGAAGAGAGCAAGGCATCAACCAACTGAAGCTGTGGTATTTCCTGGAGGCTCCAGGGGGAGCCCTGCTAGGCTGAACCGAGTAAAGTAATACTACAGGGAGACGACTGCCCACCATTCATTTTTCGAAGCTGTTCAACACCTGGTCATCCATAGCCAAGATCACCTTGTCCTGGGCTTCAAGACTCCTGCTCACCAATATACACATACAAACACACCAGTGCATGGGGGATCTCACATGCACATAAACATACACTTGCCCCAATGGAGAGGGGGATCCTGCACTCACACGCACACCACACACTATAACAGACTGGCCATTGCACAACCCATGGATACACATGCACTCCTAACCTGACAGATATCTTGTGCCATTGACTAATGGTCTAACAGCCAGTTGTGCTCTACACATTCCCGGTTCTACACAGGACTGCATATAAACCAACTACCAAAGGCGGAACAAACAAAGGAATCAGCAGATGGGGGCAGATTACATCAGTGATATCCATGCCACTGCTCCTGCAGCCCCTACTGCTTCTCTTGTGTGCTGCGCTGCTCCCTACCCTGCCACACATGTTGGGTAGTGCAAGGAGCATCAAAGATCAACTGGGCTTGCACCTTAGGAGCTGCTACAGGATGGAATCAGAGGGTGACAACCAGAGGACTTTTTGTCTGCCAGGCCTGTGTTCAAATCACATCTCCCTTCAGAAGCTGGCTTTGGAGTATGCAACAGGAAGCCTGAAGGAAGCACATACTGACAGGCCAGAAACTGAGATATGGTCTCTGGGCTACTTCCCACTTTCCCCCAAGGACCCAAGAACAAACTGAGTGTGCTGGGATCAGCAAAGTGTGACTTCACTCAAGCCATGAACTAGGCCTGTTCCCAGCTCTACCTATGGGGCTGAGGGAGCTGTTCAGCCCGCATGAAGAACCAGAGCAGAGCCTACTAGACCCATGCCCATTCCCATGCCAGCATAGCCACTCACTGGAAAGGTGTTCACCAGGCTCCAGCTGAGTTTCTGAGTGAGGAACCGCCATATTCCACAGCCGCGCATCAACTGGGGCAGCTGGGCAGAGTATCCAAAGGTGTCTGGCAGCCAGAACTGGGAGCAGAAAGAGAAATACAGACAGTCCCATGCCCAGAGCTCTCTCAGGCTGTGTACCCAGGCAGGGATACATACATGACAAATGCATGACACTCCCCTCTCCCACTCCCAGCTTTGAGCAATATTAAAAATGAGCCAAACAAAGCCAAGTATCACCAGGATCCTCATGCCTAGCACAGAAACCCAGCACCTCATGGACACACTGCTGGGTACTGGGTCCTAGATGAACTGGACACTGAGGAGCTGGAGGGTACCCCTCTCAGAGTTATCTGGGACTCCAGGAAGCCAGGCTGGCTGGACTTTCCTGAGGGAGATTTCACCCCGTAGAAATGAAGCAGAGACCCTGAGAATACCAGCTCTAGAAAGGAAAGCACAGAGCACTCTGCCCACATGGAGCAAGAACGCAAGGGCTGCAGCAACGAATGCATACCTCTGTGCAGAGCTTCCCAAACTGCTCCTGGAAGAACCGCTGGCCCTGCAGGAACTGGCGCACCATCGACTCCCCATTGGGCAGGTTCCCATCCTGGGGTGGGGGAACCAAAGGCCTGATGAACACTGTGCAGAGTGAGGTGCCCTCCGCTCTCGCCCCCTGAACCACAGCCCTCCCAGGGCAGAGCAAAGCCTGACAGCTGCCAACCAAGGCATGGCAGCCACATGTGGACTTGATGTGCTCTCCAGACAAAGAAGGGCCTAGGGAAGGATAGAAGAGTTGCTGCCAGCACAGCTTGGCAACTGCCTTCATCAGGAGAGAAAGGGGGTTGGTTTGAGGGGAAATGGGCCCTAGCAGGACTGAACAACACACGTCAGTAACTGCTGTGTTCCACCCCCCTGAACTGACTGAATTCTGGTACTCCCTTTCCTGGGGAGCCTGGGGTGTCCTGGGCCTGCTCCTGCACAGGGGAGCTCATGAAGTGATGGGCCAGGGCTGCAATGTTCTTACCATTTCTACCCAGGTGCCTCCAACAGGTATGAACTGTCCTTTCCTGGCAAAGTCCTGAATCTGAGCATACAGCCCAGGGTACCAGTTCCTCACCCACTCCAACTGCTGTGCCTGGGGAGAAGACACACCCTGTCACCTGATGGAGGCTACTTCCAGGTCTCATAGGCCTGGGGAAGACAGCACACAGCTGAGCTTCTGGCTTTAGGCATCTGCAAGCCTGGATTTTTCAACAGGTATCAAAGAGCTCTGCAAGTACAACCAGGCAGACAGCTCTTGGCTAAAATACAGGAGGCCATGGGCACCTAGTTCCTGTGACTGAGTGTGCACTGGGCCCCATGCAAGAGAAGAAGCCCTGTGTAGAGGTCGCAGCAGCAGCCCCAACCAGCTCTGTCCAGAGAACAGGCACAGACTCTTAAGCAATTCCCATCTGTATTTCCCGAGGAAGTTTCATTGTCCACATGTGAGCAGGAGACAGCAACTCACCTGGGAACAGGTAAAGGTGAAGCCTGGGTTCTTTTCCATCAAGTGGACAACGGTCACCCAGCTGCGAGCACATTTCCGGATGGACTCCTCATACGGCCACAGCCAAGCTACGGGAACATGGGCAGCTTTGTGGCCTTTGTATCTCAAATAGCTGTGCATCATGAACAGGTCCAGGGAAGTGATCCTCCCACTCAGTGTGACATTGGTCAGGCTGCAGTTGGAGTACTGTGTCCAGTTCTGGGCGTCGCACTTCAGGAGGGATGTGGACAGCATTGAGAGGGTCCAGAGGAGGGCCATTCACATGATCGGGGGCAGCAAGGCAGGCCCTATGAGGGGAGGCTACAGGACCTGAAGCTGTTCAGCCTCCACAAGAGAAGGCTGAGAGGGAATCTGGTGGCCATCGACAAAATGACCAAGGGGGACCAGCACGCAATGGGAGAGTCCCTGCTCCCCCAAGCACTACCGGGAGTAACGAGGAATAACAGCCATAAGTTGATGGAGAGTAGATTCAGGCTAGATATCAGGAGGCACTACTTCACAGTCAGGGCGGCTAGGATCTGGAACCAACTTCCAAGGGAAGTGGTCCTCGCTCCTACCCTAGGGGTCTTCAAAAGGAGGATAGATAATCACCTAGCCAGGGTCATTTGACCCCAGCTTTCTTTCCTGCTCATGGCAGGGGGTTGGACTTGATGATCTGCTCAGGTCCCTTCCAACCCTACTAACTATGAAACTATGATGTCACACACATACACACACCCCAAGCTGCCTGTCAGAAGCCATTCTGTGCTATCTTCCCCAGGTGGCCAAGACAGAAGTGAGACTTGCCTGAGCTATGCTGCCTTTAACAAGAACTGAGTGCAGAGGAGCACCAAAGACATCAACAAAATATGGCTATTAGATGCACCTGCATTGCAAGAAGTGTGGTTACAAGTGCAAAGGCAAGAGGTCTTTCCTCATCTCCAGCCCCAGCAAGACTCTTGTCCAGCTCAGACGTGCTGGTGTCCCGGACTCTTCACTTCTATTCCCCTATAACAGCAAGGCCCAATCCATGCTGGAAATCTGAAATCCAAGTGAGGCAAGGTCCAGGCACAACAGGCTATCACAGGCTCCTCCATCAAAATGCCTTTTAACTCATGCTGATTCAAGCCAGATAAGGCTAACCACCTTTTGCAAAGGGTAACAGAGATAATCCTTATCCTGGAGGCTAAGACCATCACTTCCACCATGCACTCAGTGCCTCCTGGCCCACTATCTGCTTTGAACCAGGTTCCTCCCAAAGCCAAGGGCCAGGCCTACTAAATCTCAGGTCATTCAGCAGGTGCCTATGATAGCCAGGCCACGCTCTTACCTGAATCAATGTGGCAGTGGCCCATGGCATGGATTGTGTGCTGGCTCTCTCCATTCCTCTGGCTGAAGAAGGTGGAGGCGAGCTGGTGAGCTGCAGGGAAGGTGGATGGGTCTGTGACGTCACAGAGGTTCACCATCTGGTTGGCTGTGTACAGAGCCTGGAAGCTCCTCTGGTTTTTCTCCCCAAGGTGCTGAGGGAGGGGAGAAGCAAGGAGAGCTGAACCATGAGCTTAGCACCTCCCAGACTGGAGAGGCTAGTAGACCTCATCCTACAGAGACTGGGTCTGATGCCCTGCACATGTGAGCAGGACATCCATGGAGATCCCCCTTCCTGCCTTGTGTCCAGTCTCCACCCCCAACAGTGTCATACGCTTCCCAATTCTACACAGACACAAAAGGGGTACTCCCCTCAGCAAAGGGCCCTTGTGCTTCTGGGGCCTTCATGCCTCTGGCTGGCCCAATGGGAGATATTGCCAGGTAAATTCAAGCAACAATGGGTCGCAAAATGGTTGGAGGGCCACACCCAGAGTGGTGGTGGACGGATCGTTTTCTACCTGGAGGGATGTGGGCAGTGGGGTCCCCCAGGGCTCAGTCCTTGGGTCTGCACTGTTCAACATCTTCATCAGCGACTTGGACAAGGGGGTGAAAAGCACCTTGTTAAAGTTCGCAGATGACACTAAGATGTGGGGAGAAGTGGGTATGTTAGAACGGAGGGACAGGATACAGCTAGACCTGGACATGTTTCATAGTTGGCAGGGTTGGAAGGGACCTGAGCAGATCATC